AAAAGACTTTCTGTTTGAGCAGGCTGGCTTGCGAGAGGCACCCGGCCATCAGGTCAGGGGCAATCGTGCGAGGAATTTTCTGGAAGATTTCTCCTGTGGTGCAGCTTCATTAGCAAGTAGGGCAGCGTTTCTGCTCGCGCTTCCCTGGAGTAGGAGCGATTTCAGGGAAGGCGGTTGCTTGAGCAGCCCCGAGCTCACAGCTCTGAGACAGGAGAGCTCACTCCACTGACGCACGTTGCTGCAGGGGCTTGTTCAAGAGCTTTTAATCCCTCCACTGATGCCACTTATAGTTTTAATCAGCTCGAACGTTCATTCGGCATCAGCAGGATATGAACCAGCAGCCCATGGAGTCCTAAGGAAGACGGCATGAACACGTGGGTCACGGCAGAGAAGGGAGGTGGCAACGCCGTCTATGTGGCATCGGAGGGCTCAGCGCAGGGGAGAGAGAGATAACCCAACACCTTGCTTCGGAAATCACATTATCTACCCCTGTGTGGGAACAGAGGGTAGAAGGGAAGGGGGCAGAGAGCCTGATTTATCTCCCAAGTTCTTCCTCATGCTCTGTACGGGTATTTGTGACGCACTCCTTGGGAGCTTCCTGAAATCCAGCCGCAGCAGCCTCCCCCAGAAGGGCGAGCAGGGGTGACAATGAGCAAACACGAACCCATCTGGCCCAAGGTGACGTGGCCCAGTTCATCCTCAGGGCTTTGCTTCTCCCCAGGTAGAACCAACGCTGCCCAGAAAGATGTCACCACTCCGCCGGGTGGCCCGGCCATGCTGTACCCGCTGCTACGGCCAAGAAGAGGAACCGACCTTGCTTTTACCATCCCACGGCTCTTGTCCCTGCCAAGATTCACAAACCACACTGAAAACAGCCTGAAGTCAAACCCAATGCTGTTCCAGAAATGAAACCATTGTCCTTTTCCTCGACTTGCTCACCCGGTCCTGGCCAGCAGGGTCAGGGCACTTCTACCGTGTGGTACAACGGGAGTTGAGCGGTACCAACAGGCAAGCCCTAACGGGATGCAACTCGCCGACAGCTCGCAGAGGTGCTGCCGATGCACATCCCTGCCCTCCAGGTCTGACATTCCGCAGGGCAGCAGTTTATTAGTGGTGCTCGGGAGCGGCTGGGCACGGCACCAGAGAGCTCTCGCTGGGGACAGGCGCCGCCACGCAGGGAGAGCAGATGAGCTTGTTCAGCATCAGGTCCCGTTGCATTTTGAAAATGCAAAGAGGAGAACAATGCAAATGCAAACAGTTACTTTCAGCTGAAACCAGAATGATCAAAACCAGCGAGAGAGGAGGAGGAGT